CTGGGTGGCCTTCTCCCGGGAGTGCTTTGATTGGATTTTCCTACGTGGCAGAAGGAGGCCAGACTGGAAGGCCCTTGGGGTCTCTTTTGAATGGATCAGCCTTATGATTCTGTTCTTAGAGGCTTAGGGCTGCCTCAGGGGCCAGTCCCACAGTGCTCCTCCCTCTCCTCCTCCCTCCCTCCCTGCCTCCTTCCTTTCTTCCCTCCTTCTTTTCTTCCTGGGTGCTGATTTGGAGAGCGCTGGCTCGCTGGCTGGCTGGCTGGTGGCACTGCGCTGCTCCTTCTGCAAAGGCAAGCAAGGGAGGCGAGCCAGGCTCCAGATCCCACTCCCGGCAGCAGGTAAGGGCTCGGGCTACCTTTCTGCCTGCTCTGTCACCCACAGGAAAGACTCAGCTGTCCAGGAGGAAGGGCCCAGTTCCTTCTTCATTTCCACAGGTGGAGATGGAAAGATCCCTCTTTCCCTGCTTGGTTTTAATTGCTTCTATTTCTAATTAATGTTTCTATTATGGAAAGGTAAGGGGGTGGTGGTGGTGGAACGGCAGATATTTCCACCTAAAATGTCTCATTGCACCTCTCCTTTTCTCTCCATCCTTACCTGGGGGCTGAAACATACCTCTCTCTGCCAATGGCGTTTGTTCTTGGCACAAAATCAGTGTTTATCTCCCACATCAGGGCTTTCACAACTCAGAAGCTTCGAAAGACAAGGAAGTGCAACACCTATTACCCACTCAGCACTGAACAAAAAGGGGATGATGGGGTTTGTAGTTGAAAAACCTAGAGGGTTCATGTGGAGGAAACTAAATCTGATTTTTTTAAAGGGGTGCCCATTTCTCTCACCCCATCTATCTATCTATATAAATGTAATGTTCGTTTGTGGGATTAACAGAACTCAAAAAGCACTGGACGAATTGACACCAAATTTGGACACAATACACGTATCAGGCGAACGAGTGACCATCTATATAAATAAAAATGTAGTGTTCGTTTGTGGGATTAACAGAACTCAAAACCCACTGGATGAATTGACACCAAATTTGGACACAAAACACCTAACAACCCAATGTATGTCCTTCACTCAAAAAAAATGATTTTGTCCTTTGGGAGTTGTAGTTGCTGGGATTTATAGTTCACCTACAATCAGAGAGCATTCTGAACCCCACCGGCGATGGAATTGAACCAAACTTGGTACACAGTTCTCCCATGACCAACAGAAAATACTGGAAGGGTTTGGTGGGCAGTGTCCTTTGGTTTTGGAGTTGTAGTTCACCTACACACAGAGAGCACTGTGGACTAAAACAATGATGGATGTGGACCAAACTCTACACAAATACTCAACATGCCCAAATGTGAACACTGGTGGAGTTTGGGGGAAATAGAATCTTGACATTTGGGAGTTGTAGTTGCTGGGATTTGTAATTCACCTACAATCACGGAGCATTCTGAACCCCACCAATGATAGAATTGGGCCAAACTTCCCACACAGAACCCCCATGACCATCAGAGTGGGCCACAACAACGCGTAGCAGGGGACGGATTGTCTTTTCATAAGTCTCCTTATGGCAATGGGTTTTAGGCTATATCGATATGAGCACAGTGCCATAGCCATAGTTCCTACCTTGTTCTGGTTTAGTCCGAACTATGCCTAGTTCTGGGCAAAGCCAATTCAATCGCTCTGAGGAGCAGCTTTTGCCCTGAGAAGAGAAGAAATATCATATTTGTATGCTATGTACCATGTATACATATATATGGTATATATCATATCAGTCATATCCAGTCATGCCCAACTCTGGGGGTTGGTGCTCATCTCCATTTCTAAGCCAAAGCGCCAGCATTGTCCGTAGACGCCTCCAAGGTCATGTGGCCAGCATGATTTCATGGAGAGCTGTTATCTTCCCGCCAGGAGCAGTATCTATTGATCTACTCACATTTGCTTGTTTTTGAACTGCTAGGTTGGCAGAAGCTGGGGTTAACAGCAGGAGCTCACGTCACTCCCCGGATTCGAACTGGTGACCTTTTGGTCAGCAAGTTCAGCAGCTCAGCATTGTAATCCACTGCGCCACTGGAGGCTCCTAACAACAGCAACATACTTTATTTATATTCTGCCCTATCTCTCTGAGGGGACTCAAGGAGCAGTACCTATTGATCTACTCACATTTGCATGTTTTCGAACTGTTAGGTGGGCAGAAGCTGGGGCTGACAGTGGAAGCTTGCGCGCTCCCTGGATTTGAACCTATGACCTTTTGGTCAACAAGCTCAGCAGTTTAACCCACTGCGCCACTGGGGGCTCCCTCATATATATATATTCTTTAGTGTTCCCCAGTGGCGTAGCAGGTTAAAGCGCTGAGCTGCTGAACTTGCTGACCGAAAGGTCGGCAGTTTGAATCCAGGGTGAGCTCCCGCTGTTAGCCCCAGCTCCTGCCAACCTAGCAGTTTGAAAACATGCAAATGTGAGTGGATCAATAGGTACCGCTCCTACGGGAAGGTATCAGCACTCCATGTAGTCATACTGGCAATAGGACCTTGGGAGGTGTCTATGGACAATGCCGGCTCTTTGGCTTAGAAATGGAGAGGAGCACCACCCCCGAGAGTCAGACACGACTAGACTTAGGGTCAGAGGAAACTTACCTTTACTCTGATATAGTATATGCCATATATACATACAACATATATGGTATAGATCATATCATATGTATATGGTATTTCTCATATATATATATATATATATATATATATATATATATATTCTTTAGTATATAGACGATGTGTCACACATACCCCCCTATTTTATGACACACAGGCAGCACTTCGAACCAGTTGGTTCCGGATCACAAAATGAGGCAATGAATCACTAAAGATGCACATATATATATATTTATTAATGTGATTAATGGAACTTAATAAAATGAATTAGCAAAACATCTCAGTTTCTGAAAACATAAGCAAGCAATAAATGCAAAAGTTTGGAGGGCACTCATTCAGCGACGGAAGAAGGCAGAAACCTGAAATGTGTTTGCAAATATATTAAGATCCGTCTAATAGTTAGACAAAATTATTTGCCCACAATGATGGAGATTTTGGTTATGATTTGAATCCGCCGAAGAATTGACTGGTAGCTCCTACAATAGAGCCAATGGGATATATCGGCCAATGGGATATATCCAGAGAGCAGGGTTTGAATCTCAGCCTCAGAGGAATCAAAGGTAAACACTCCCTTTGAATAAATAATGCCAAGAAAAATCTATTTCAGGGTCTCACACATTGGAAACCACCTGAAAGTAGAGAAAGTCAGTATTCCTAATCCACCCTGAACATGTGCAGAGATGCTGAGGAAGGATATGAAACTGAGTGTGAATGTAAATATTAATCTCGGTCAAAATGCGTTCATTGATGCTCATTTCAGAGAGAGATAAAAACCCAGGCAGGAACTCGGTGTTTCTTTGGGTGACACCTGAGATAGTTGTTGTCTATCAGGTGCCAAGTTGTCTCTTTGGTTCCACTGAAAAGCTTGCCAAGTGTGGGATGTAGTTGGTGGCGGAGCATGAGAATCTGTCGAAGAGACTGACACTTGAAATGATAGCATAGATGCTCACATTGACACAGGATATGGGGGTGGCGTCGCTGCTTTGTTTTGAAACAATTTTCTTTTTTGGTGATCCTTCCATGTGGCAATTCAATAGGCCAACCTCTTTTTGACAGATCTTCTGATGAGAAAACTTGTGTGTGTGTGTTGTTCTCTCTCTCTCTGTCATTCTCTCTGTCTTTCTCTTCTGGCCCAGTTATTTGAGCCACAGCTGACTCTCTCAATCTCCCCCTTTTTGCAGAGCTTGCCTCAATGATGTGCGAAATGGGCCTGGTCTCCCCGGAGCCATACTGTGGGGAGGCCCCAGACTCCTATTGCCAGGACGATGACCGATGGCAGAGGCTCCGCACCGCCGTCCGGAAGCTGGAATTCTGGGAGAACTTCGAGGCCGAGCTGATTGGCAGCGGATTCTTCTCCAAAGTGTACAAGGTGACATTGCCCAACTGTTTAAGCTGCCTGAAGCAAAATATGCAAACCTCAGACCCAAATCCTTTTCCTGACATGTCCGTTTTTGGACTGTGGCTTCTAAGGAGAAATGTGAAGCGAATCCATGCGCATGTTAGTGGGAGTGGGAAAACATTTTCCCTCAAATTTTTATTTGGAAATTAGCTTGGGTCCCCTCCGTTCCTGGATTATTTGAAAAAGTCATTTATTTAATTGTACAAAATGCATAAGGTTGTGGGTGAACTACAACTCACATCATGCCAGGTCAACTCCGAAAAACTCCATATTATCTGCTTTGAACTGGATTATCTGAGTCCACACTGCCATATAATCCAGTTCAAAGCAGATAATAGGGATTTCAGTCTCCTCAGGGAGAAAGGGTGGAATATAAATACAGTTTTTATTATTATTATTACTATTATTATTATTATTATTATTAGGTCGTGTCAGGAGCGACTTGAGAAACTGCAAGTCGCTTCTGGTGTGAGAGAATTGGCCGTCTGCAAGGATGTTGCCCAGGGGACGCCTGGATGTTTTGTGGGAGGCTTCTCTCATGTACCCGCATGGAGAGCTGCAGCTGATAGAGGGAGCTCATCCGTGCTCTCCCCGGATTCAAACCTGCAATGTTTCGGCCTTCAGTCCTGCCGGCACAGGGGTTTAACCCACTGCGCCACCAGAGGCTCCATTATTATTATTATTATTATTATTATTATTATTATTATTATTATTTGAAACACAACAAGATGAGTCCACAGCAGACACTCTGCTGGCTACTGAATTGGATCACACGTCGGACACTTCCCAAGTGTCTAGGGCTGTGTGATGTATCAGCTATTATTATTATTATTATTATTATTATTATTATTATTATTATTATTATTAGAAACACCACAAGGTGAGTCCACAGCAGAGACTCTGCTGGCTGTTGAATTGGATCTCACGTCAGACACTTCCCAAGCGTCTAGGACTGTGTGATATATTGGCGAATAATGCGTGCAGATCCCAGTAAGGTGGTAATTTTGTCATCGCTGATTGTGTTTAAGTGCAGGCCAAGGTCTTTAGGCACTGCACCCAGTGTGCTGATCACCACTGGGACCATCTTTACTAGTTTGTGCCAGAGTCTTTGCAGTTTGATTTTTAAATCCTCATATTGTGTCAGCTTTTCTAGTTGTTTCTCTGCAATCCTGCTATTATTATTATTATTATTATTATTATTATTATTATTATTATTCTATATGGCAATGTAGAAGGGGCCCGAGGCACGTATTTTGATTTTTATTATATACACGGACACAAACATAGTTAATAATAATAATAAAATAATAATAAAATATTATTAATAAAATAATAAAAATAATAAACCCCAATATTTATCTATCATTAAAACTGAGAAGCTATCTAACTAATTACTACAACATACATTAAAAACAGCATCAAGGAAACACACCAACCTACACCAACCACTTATGTACTTACTACATAAGCTACAGCTATTTTACAAACCTTGCACTCATTGTCAAAACCAGGAATCTCCCCCTTTGCTATGGTTAGAAATACCACCCAGAAGGGGGTTTAGAAATACAGCAGTTGCCAGTTTGCGGGTGTGACGGGACTGACAGATTGAGAAGCGGCCCACCATTGCCAGGGGAGAGAGTCTGGGAAGGGAAGAATGCGCCATGAATTCAGATTCAGAGATGCCCATTTTTTCACGGCTGATCTCCTTTCACTGTGATTAGCAACCTTTGCTTCTATTCAAAAAACCCAAGCCCCAGATTCTGAAAACAGTGACTCCTCTGTACACGATATTTCTATGTGAAAAGCAAATATTGTAGGAGATGTGTGTAATAGCAAGCCCTATTCCTTTTAACTATGGAGGTACCGAAAAGAAGGGGTACTGCTTGCATAAGAGAATAAGTGGAAACTGTGGATAACTCTCTTTCAAGTCTAGGATTCTTCTATCCATCCATTCATCCATCCATCCATCTATCTATCTTAGAGTTAGACTGGATGCCCCTTAGGGTCTCTTCTAAGTCTAAGATTCATCTATCTATCCATCCATCCATCCATCCATCCATCCATCCATCCATCCATCCATCCATCCATCCATCCATCCATCTATCTTAGAGTTAGACTGGATGGCCCTTGGAGACTCTTCCAAGTCTAAGATTCTTCTATCTATATCTATCTATCTATCTATCTATCTATCTATCTATCTATCTATCTATCTAAACATCCATCCATCCATCCATCTATATTAGAGTTAGATTGGATGCCCCTTAGGGTCTCTTCTAAGTCTAAGATTCATCTATCCATCCGTCCGTCCGTCCATCCATCCATCTATCCATCCATCCATCCATCTATCTTAGAGTTAGACTGGATGGCCCTTGGAGACTCTTCCAAGTCTAAGATTCTTCTATCTATATCTATCTATCTATCTATCTATCTATCTATCTATCTATCTAAACATCCATCCATCCATCCATCCATCTATATTAGAGTTAGATTGGATGCCCCTTAGGGTCTCTTCTAAGTCTAAGATTCATCTATCCATCCGTCCGTCCGTCCATCCATCCATCTATCCATCCATCCATCCATCTATCTTAGAGTTAGACTGGATGGCCCTTGGAGACTCTTCCAAGTCTAAGATTCTTCTATCTATCTATCTATCTATCTATCTATCTATCTATCTATCCATCCATTCATCCATCCATCCATCTATCTATCTTAGAGTTAGACTGGATGCCCCTTAGGGTCTCTTCTAAGTCTAAGATTCATCTATCTATCCATCCATCCATCCATCCATCCATCCATCTATCCATCCATCCATCCATCCATCCATCCATCCATCTATCTTAGAGTTAGACTGGATGGCCCTTGGAGACTCTTCCAAGTCTAAGATTCTTCTATCTATATCTATCTATCTATCTATCTATCTATCTATCTATCTATCTATCTAAACATCCATCCATCCATCCATCTATATTAGAGTTAGATTGGATGCCCCTTAGGGTCTCTTCTAAGTCTAAGATTCATCTATCCATCCGTCCGTCCGTCCATCCATCCATCTATCCATCCATCCATCCATCTATCTTAGAGTTAGACTGGATGGCCCTTGGAGACTCTTCCAAGTCTAAGATTCTTCTATCTATATCTATCTATCTATCTATCTATCTATCTATCTATCTATCTATCTAAACATCCATCCATCCATCCATCTATATTAGAGTTAGATTGGATGCCCCTTAGGGTCTCTTCTAAGTCTAAGATTCATCTATCCATCCGTCCGTCCGTCCATCCATCCATCTATCCATCCATCCATCCATCTATCTTAGAGTTAGACTGGATGGCCCTTGGAGACTCTTCCAAGTCTAAGATTCTTCTATCTATCTATCTATCTATCTATCTATCTATCTATCTATCCATCCATTCCATCCATCCATCCATCTATCTATCTTAGAGTTAGACTGGATGCCCCTTAGGGTCTCTTCTAAGTCTAAGATTCATCTATCTATCCATCCATCCATCCATCCATATCTCCTTTCTTGTAGTTTGAAGCCATTGTATGAATTCTATCTATCCATCCATCCATCCATCCATCCATCCATCCATCCATCCATCCATCCATCCATCCATCCATCTTAGAGTTAGACTGGGTGGCCCTTGGAGACTCTTCCAAGTCTAAGATTCTTCTATCGATCTATCTATCTATCTTAGGGTTGACTGGATGGCCATTGGCGTCTCTTGCAAGTGTAGGATTCTTCTAATCTCTCTCTCTCTCTCTCTATCTCTATCTATCTATCTTTGAATTTGGCCCTGCACAGTGTAATTCCTTTGTGTTTTAATGTTTGATTTTATATTGCTGTGCCGTCTATTATATTGGTTTTGTATTTTATGTAATTTATTTTCTGGTTTTGTTGTGCTTTTGTGTAATATTGTGTTTATTGTACTGATGGGCGTGGCCTCATGTAAGCCACCCCAAGTCCCCCTGGGGGAGATGGAGCAGGGTATAAATAAAGTATTATTATTATTATTATTATTATTATTATTATTATTATTATTACCCATCTAGGCTGTGGATTCTATGATACCTCTTTCTATCTGTTCTTCAATGTAGCACCCTCTAGTGAGTTGGACTACATCTCCCATTATCCCCAATCGCTGTGACATACTGGATAGAAGCAATAGGAATTGCAGTAGCCGAACAGTGCCTAGTTTGGGGAAGGCTGGCAAAAGTTCTGGTGCTGCATTTTGTGCCACCAGCCCCTCCCTAATCTGCTATTATCAGCCTTATTATTTCCTCCACTATTCCTAACAGTCTGTTATTGAGAGAGAGAGTGTCGTGAGCGAGTGCGTAAATCTCTTTTATTCTTATCTAAAAACAACAGGCGAGAGACAATATGCCAGCCCGCTTTAATCCCGAAAGCAAATGTAAGCTCATTGACTCAGTCTGTTGCCTTGCTACAAAACCAACGTCAGTCTCCGGAAATATTTGTCACTTCCGCACCACTGATTTTGGTCCGAGGTCTGGCTTTCCCACCTTTTGGTGGGGCCACTTCTCTTTTATCTAGGTACTTGGGGATCTTGATGAGGTGAACCCTTATCTAAGACAGACCATGGGAAAAGAGGGGATTCTGGGGATTGTAGTCCAAAAAAGTAAGATTTTTCGAACTGGATGCCCCGAGGGACAAAACACTGTTGAAACAATTCACAGACTGCAAAGTCAACAAAAGGGTAGTGACAAATTTTCACATTTGTGGGCTTTTGTGTAGAATGGCCTGTTCTTGCCCAGCAGCCTTTCTGCCTAGGCGCCCTTCCTACTCACAAAGCGGCTCTTTCTCGGAAAGGGACACAGCTCTCCTTTTGTTCAAGATTCATGTTACACCATGACCTTTTTGCTGGATGCATTTCTTTCTGCTTTCTTCCTTTCTGTTTTGCCAGCTTTTCTTTGGTGGCTGAACCCCGCTTTTCTGGCTCAACTCTTTGCA